AGATGAAGGTTCTGTCGTTGACACGCTTGTCCACGACCACGTTGAGATGGGAAAGTAGCTTGATATTGCTGAGAGACGATCAGCAAAGGTCTGGGATGAAGTGGGGATCCAACTTCATCTCAGGGGGTACACAGAGGAGACAACTCTAAGGGGGTAGGGGTCAGAAGGATACCGTAGGTTGCACAAGCTAACCACACCCGTGTGATAACATTTTCGGGGGGACAAAAGTATCACACGGGTGAGGTATTCTGTAGGGGGTGTGATATCTTATGTCACCCGTGTGATAAAGTGCACTCACAGAGTCTCAACAACAGGGGGTGTGATAACAAGGGTGTGTGATACCGTCGCCCGTGTGATGAAGCGCGCTCACAGGACCCGGCTCACAGGGGGTGTGATAACTTCACCCGTGTGATGATACGCGCTGACAGGACCCGGCCTGCCGGGGGTGTGATGATGTCGCCCGTGTGATTGCAGTGCGCTGACAGGACCCCACCTACGGGGGTGTGATAATAATGTCGCCCGAGTGATGCAGTGCGCTCAAAGGAGGCACCCACCTACAAAGGGCGTGAAGGGGTGTAAAACAGGGGTGATAGCTAGGGTGGCTCACACCACTCCATCACGTACATGGTTTCTCACGTGCATTTTCGCAGTATTCTTTGAAAATTCTTCGCATACGTGCACAACGAAGACGTATTTAGTACCGATACCTCATAGCGGATGTTGAGCTCAAGACGGTCTGCGCACACCTTACTTTGATGTAGACGTCGCCAGACTTCGCATGCCTGCCGCAAAACTCCGGCATATCCTTCCGTGGCTCAGCCCACAAAGGCTTGTTGGCGCACGATGGTTCTCCGCAGCGCGGTGCTGCTGCAGGGTTCTCAGCAGTAGCCGCGCTCAGGGTGTTGGTGGTTGGCGGGAGAGCTGCCTTTTCGGGTGTGGGTGTGGGTGCTGCGGGATTCTCAGCAGTAGGTTCTGCTTCGCAGGCTTCAGCGGCACCCGCAGTGGCAGGCGTAGCCGATGCAGTGGGAGTCTCAGTAGCAGTAGATTCTGTTGAGCGGGCTTCAGCAGTACATGCGGTGTCACGTGCGGCTTCTGAGGGAGTCGTCCGCGCAGCCCCACGTTCTCCCGGGGGGGGTTGGCAGAAGGACGCTATGGAGCGTCGGACCACCGCGGGAGTCTTGCACACTGCAGTCTGAGCCGCAGGGCTTTCAGCCGGGTTGTCAACTGCACCACCCTCCACGACATTGTCCGCCTCCATGGCTCTTGCGAGCAGGTGGTGTGGTTGTGATCTCTGTCCTCACGTTGTCACACCGTGTGACAAGCGGGGGCTCCGTCGATTTAATGCGGCCCAACTTCAGGGGGTATGGAATCTTATGTCACCTTGTGATAAAATGACGTTTTTCTCGATGCTTTCGAAATTTGTCATTATTATTTTGCGTACCCCCTTTGCTCGCCAAGGGGGAGGGGAAAAGAGCGGAGACCAGGCAGGGCACCACCACACACGCCCCCGGTCTACTCCTTACGATCAGAATAAACATCAGCCACCCAACAGACAGAGACATATAAACTCTGTCTGCCCCCCACAACCGCTGATAGTACCACACCGGCTTGTTCATACTGAAACCACGAGAGAACCCCACAAGGCCCATCAACATTAGTATTGCCATTTGGCGAAACACCCGGGCCACCCAAAAAAACCCATTTCTCGTCTCTCGCTACTCTCTGTTCCCCTGGCCTTCCCATCGCACTGCAGAAAAATACGCATGTACCCGGACACCAGGACACCCACATATAAGCCATATTATATGTATGCGTATCCACTTATCAATCAGACTCG